ATTGTTTTATATAATACTTAATGAAATTTTAATGAAATTATTCCATGTACTTCTCTAATATTAAAATAATGAAGATGATAATATTCATGATTAACTCCATCCATAATAAAAATGATTAATCAATCTCTCATAATTACAAAAAATTGAACAAAATGAAAAATTATGATTGATTGAATGAGGTTTGTACTGTTTGTACAAATAATATGGTTTGCAAAGTAAACCTCATATATATATATATATATATATATATAGAGAGAGAGAGAGAGAGAGACAGAGAGAGAGAGAGAGAAGTTATGCTAGGAATCCAAAATTGATTAGGTATACGGGAACCGCTCACAACGCGTCCGTGCCCCTCCCTAGGATGAATACTTCTCACGAATATCACATTCTTAATTAATGTGAAGATGTTATTCATCGTGAATCACACATTCATGATGAATAGCATGTCCATCTTTTTGTTGGATATGCCACTTGTCACGTTGTAGGCAGTCCCCCGGTTCCTAATCAGTTTTAGGTTTCTAAAACAGAACCTGCCCTATATACTGGGGCATGTTTAGTTGAAAACCTAACTTTTGTTATGAACCAGGGGACAATGGAAGGTATGTCATGTAACCTAGACATTCTCAAGATACCAATCATGAATGGTGTTATATTCATCATGAACCTTGTAAAAAAAATTACTTTCATCATTCATGATCAATGAAGACGCGAATTCACACAGAAATCAATTTTACAACTGAATATTCCTCTCTCTATCTATTAAAAATCGATTTTCGCAATGCTTTTAACCTTGTGTTTTTTTTATACAACCTCTTTTTTCACATATAAAAGATGATATATCATCTTACATTGATTATGACTATATATTTCCTCTACAAACGTTTAATTTGGAAAAGTTCATTTTTATATATTACTTTTTAAAACTAATTGTTTTTTCAAGAATTCTTTATTTTAGAATACATATAAAATTCGTTTTCAATAACTCAAATGAAAAGTTAGTAGTAATGGGATTCAATGTTGATTTTGATGGTGAAATAAAAATAAACTGAAATTTGACGTAATAGGAAAAATGGAATGTCGATAGACGTCTAAATTTATAAAAATAATGAGGCTACAGTTATAAAAAATTAAAAGAAAACCTTATAAACTATAAACAAAACTCTAAAGATAATTTTATTAATCAATATTAAACTGAATATCAATGAAAATGATAATACCTATTTATAGACCAAAGTAATTGAGAGATAACCATGGAAACAAAACCTATACTAATCCAAAAACAACTAGAAAAATATTTAACTAATTAATAGTAACTAGTTGTGTACCTGAGCAATGCAGCGGGGGAGCCATGAATTTTAACGATTTTGAAGTTCTACTGGTTTTATAAGATAAGATTTAACAATGATATAGGTTACACTTGGTCTTTACATATTAATACAATTTGAATAAATAAGAGTTATGGTTCCAATTACATACTATCGATGAAAAAAGTTGTATGACAGTTTAAAATCCAACATGTTTAAACGACTCCACAAATGTATTTGATTTACACCAAGAGCAAAGAACCAAGAAACTTGAGTTTTAAGATAAACACTCAAAAACAATAAAGAAAACTACAAATTTGACAGATCATAAGCCATGAAAAGACAAAAAAAAGATGGGTTTTAGAATGAAATTTCAACTGCTTACCCTCTTTCTTGTCCAGAAACTCATATTAAGATTGAATTAATACATGTATATATATATTTCAAAAAAACACAAGAACATATTAATTCAAAACATATTATACAGTGCAATTTGGATAGCCTAACCCCAAAATATATAGTATATATAAATAAATAACTATAAAAGTATAAATTCTAAATATTAAAAATATTTTTTCACAGTATATATAATAATATAATTAAGTCAAAAACTATTCAATATTGGACTCATTTCGAAAGTATTAACGAGATGATTATAATGGTGTAACTTGTTAAAATAAAAATTTATTTTTTAAACATGTTTTAATTGATATACGATTATGTATGTTAATTTGATAAATGTTTAAAATGAATCATTTAAAAGTAAAGGACGTAAAGTAAATTAATTAATTATAGGGATATAAAATGTAAATTTAAAATTATAATTTTAAAAAAATCGGTTGCGAGAGGGTGTGTATGTGAGGAGAGGAGGGGGTGAAAAAGTGAGTATAAAGGGTATTTTGGTCATTTAGTATTTTAAGACTTTAAGACTTTTGCTTAATTTTTGCTGAATAAGATAGTATAGATATTCCTAGTCTATTGGACAACCAAAAAAAAACTGAAACTAACAAATAATTATCCTAAAGTAATTAGGAAATAAAATAATCAGATAAACAAATAAAAGCAATATGTGTACGCCTTGTAAGAACGTGCCCGCAACCTAGTACACGACCCAAGCCACGGGGGAAATCGTATAGGTGACTCTGTTCCAGCTTTGATCTGGGTTTTAGACTTCTTTCAAGCTCGTTTTCTCATTTTACAAAGATCTACGGATAAAAACCCTGTTAACTCTCTAATCCTCCCTATATCAGATACCCTCACTTGAAAACGCAACTTCATTCAATTCCTTGGGGTTTCATGCAACGCCAAAACACTTACGTACATTTTTTTTTCTTTTAAGTGTTTTTAATCATAACTCGGTCTTTAGAATTTAGAAAGATTGATCAATCTTCAAGTCCCAAATGATGTTGTCGTGGTTGCTTCCATACACGTGATACTTTTTTCAAACTTGAAAGGGTAAAAGGAGACAAGAACTTCATTGAGAAATTTTTTGTCGAATTGGCTCAGCTTGATCTAGAGTCTTAGGTGCTGAAATAATATGAGTGTCATCTTCAAGATCACTCTTCTTGATTTCTTGTGACAAAGGTTTCAGGGGATCGGGTTCTACCGGCTCCTCTTTGGTTTCTTTATCATTAGTATGAAATCTGTTGCCGACTCTTTGGGATCGGTACAGGTTTCTTGTTGTGATTCTGTTACGACATGGATGACTTTATCTAACTTCACTTCAACCAGTATTCATTTTTTTTTTTTTTTGAAGTATATAACATTTATATACGATGCAACAAACAAACTCATGCACCCTCCTCACCTTTGGTGAGGTTTAAACCTTTGACCAACTAGGAGGTCAAAGGCTACGATACCGCTAGGCCAAAAGCCCTTTGGTGAGTATTCGTTGTTGCTGAAGACATTTTGCTTGATCAGATAACATATTACAAAACAGGACTTGAAGATGTTACAATGGAAACCCCAAAACCTAGGATTACAATATTAATTCCCAAAACGTTTTAAGTTGCATTTGACAATGAGTTTTCAAAGTGAATTCCTAATTAGAAGAACCATAATTAGATATTCAGCTGGAATGATTTTATATTTATCACAATCATTGATTTCTTGTTATGAACTTGATGACGTAATAAGTAATAACCGGTTTAATGTGTTAGAAATTTAGGGGCTTAATATGTAACATGGGTATCGTTGAAGGTTTATGATGGAAATTGGCTAATGAGTTTCATGTTTTTGCAAGAAGAAGAGTGTGTAAATTCTATTTTCTTTGGTATGATCTTCTTTATTGTTGAATTAGGTTGAAGTTTAGATCAATGTTTTGGGTCTCAATATGGTTCATGTCATGTAAATTTTATGTTATATCTGATGTGAATTGGTGGGTTGTTACGGAAAATGAAATAAAGGGATGGCAGATGCCACTACACTATTTCCATACGAATGAGGCCTCAAATTCAACCATGCTACAAACTCCACTAGTTTTCTCTATTGCTTCTAATCAAATTTCTGCTTTCTGTTCATTTTCGCTCCTGTTAAAATTCTTTTGGTGGGTTGGATTCTATGGTTACGGTTCTACTATATACGTCTTTTTCATCATGTCGGCTATTGTTTAGTCACCAAAAGATGCACTATATGGATCCGTTTAAAGACTATATCGTAGGAGTGCTTGTGACAACATGATTCAAGTTTGATGCACCATTTTCCCTACAAACGACTATTTCTTATTTCATACCTAGTACGTACAGATTCATTATGAACATACCTGGTTCGGCCTAGCATTAATTTGTTGCTCATGATCGTCGCCATCACAACCATGGGCCAGGGCCGGGCCTTAAATGCCCCAAATCAAAATAGCACACCAACATATGTTCGTTCATAGTTGAAAGTTAAAAAAAATGGGAGAGATGGAGAATATGTGGGCAAGGGCAACACTACAACCCACCTAAAAAAATACCATTTGCCATTACCATCTCTTTCTCTTCACAAATGTTGGGTTTCTCTTTAGTCATAGGTGTGAGTCCAAGTGCATGCAACTCGATTAATTTTAAGAGTTATGGAAAATAACCCGAAAAAACCCCAATGATCTTATAAAACTTGAACCGATCAGTTGTAAATAGAGAATCATAAAAATACAAATCTTATTACCAATCGATAATACAAGTTATAACCCACAAGATCAATGAAAAATATTTTTTTGGTGCAGCCCGGCCTTTAAGCGGCACCAACCCGTCATGCAATCATTGATGCAAAACCTTTGACTTATTTTCATTAAGGAACCGATTTACCAAACACTTATCCGGGTAAGTGATTACAAGTAAAATTCAACACTGTCACTTATTTACCGGGTAAGATCTTAATCCACCACAATGGTATCGTATGCAATAATTTACCCGGAAAACGCTAACCATGGTAAGATTCATAAGAATTATCATCACTTACCTGATAAGACTCTTGGTCCTTGCATTTGCTCTTACCGGTTAATATTTTTGATCATTGCCATATTTATACAATAAGGTGATAAGATAATGTAACTTTGTAAGCTCTTTTTTCACACGAGTAAATGTTTAGCAAACCTTAAATTTGGTTAATTACATCACAATTTTAATAAAATAAAATAGAACATATTAAAACCCTTTTCTAGTGAAGAAGATAAAACAAAAACAAAAACAAAAACAAAAAATATGAAAGAAGGAAATCAGAGCATTGCAAAGGATGATGGCAATTAATTAATTAATTAGGGTCTGGATCACATTACATTACATTACATTCATCATATATCTACATTAATTAATAATAAGTGAGAATACTACCAAACAGCCCTTTCTTAATTAATTAAGCTTAAAAGTATCTACTACTGTTAGTCAACAACATCCATATCTCCCTTTTTGTTACTGCACTTTGAGAGATATTTAGATAGAATATGGGGATTCATTTGCATACAGTCTTCAGTTTCTTTGCTGCCTGTGCAAACCCCACGATCACCTGCAACTCATCCAGTGTCTGAACCACAACAGCACATATATTCTTTATTAATCATCTTTGTTTTTTCTGCAACTATCCAACCAGGCTATTTCCCACCATTCATCAAATCGAATTTAGCTTCTAGTATAACTTACCTGTGACATGAAATGCCTTTGGACAATATCCACAAGCTGCTCCTTAGACGGGTTGGGGATCACACCCGCCTGCAAATAAATAATGACAATTTTACCCTTGGTAATATGTCCATCTCGTAATGAAGGGTGGTAAAGCCGGAAATAAAGTTTCACACTTATATGGGGAGGGAAGGGCAGGGCTAATTACGGGTACTCACAAGATTAAAGTGTCGCCAATATCTCCGTAAGGCAGCCATCTCTAGTTTGCTGAGATCAACCTTCTGAAAAGATTACATGTAAAGAGACAATCCTTTCCCGGAAACAGATTTAAATACTAGATAAATTGGTAATCAAATCCTTATTAAGTTTGGTTTCTTGAGGGTACTTATCAATAAAGTTTGCATACATACCACAGACCCACGAGAATTCGTAAAAGAGGTCTTGGATTGTGAGTCACAAGATAGAGACCGGCTAACAGTCTTGTGTGACGATGACCCTGCTGATTTATGTGGGCGGTGCCTTGATCGGTGATGTGACTTTTGGGTATCATCAGAAGCTGAAAACATGGAATTAACCAACACAATTATTTTGTCAAGGTGGGTCCATTTGCACAACCTTAATGGAATGCATAATAGAGTTTCTAGCAGTAGTAAAAAAGTTAAAGTGCAACCATGTGGCTAAGGTATCCAATGTAAAAAAAAGATTCAAAACTATCATAGAAAAAGACACTTTTCCCATGAAAATTTTACGAATTTGTCGATTACAAAAGCATGACTAACCCAGATCAGAGCCGTTCCACAGTCCGTTTTCAAACTCAAGATCATCATCATCTTCATTACCAGTAGGAGCTTCAATCACACTAAGAGCATTCCTTTGTAACTTCACTTCTATTCCATTTGTCAGCACCTAGAGTTTATTAACAAGAAATTCAGACCAAAACCAACAAAATTTCAAGATTTCGGCGATTTCATGGTCTTCAAAGGGTTCATGAAAAACAAATTCAACACAAACTGGTTCTTGTCTAACTTATTTCAATCCAGAAACAGTTATAGACCCAAGCTCTCTTTCATGGTCAATCAAAAAGACAATTTTGTATGTGTAAAACCACAAAAAAATGCATGTCTTGAAGAACAATTTGCAACACATTTGGTGCAATTTTAGGTGACAGTTAACAATAATTTAGTTTACAACCTTTAAATATAAATATTTTAAAAAATTGTAAGCAAATACCCAAATGGGTTTAAAGATATCTTGAAAATGTCAAACAGGTTTCCATGTGAAATGGTATGTAGATCATGAACACTAAAAGCAACCTTATCTGTATAATTCTTCAAAACCATCAAGAAAAATTAATTACTGAACAGGAAATGTTAATTACTAGTACCCATCATAAGCTACAAAACAATCAATCAATTATATATATATATAGAGAGAGAGAGAGAGAGAGAGAGAGAGAAAGAGAGAGAAAATAGTATATTTGACTACAGAACTCAAATGACATTTTTGGAAAAATTATTATTATCAATTCAGTCCAAGTAAAAATCAAACTAGATTGAAAGCTTGTTCAATTGACATCAAGATTTATCATAATTTGAATATAATATTATCCATAAGCATCTTTAGGAGATGAACAAATGAAGAGGATGTTCATAGAACTCAATCATGGGGAACAAGAACCCTAAGTTTCTAAATTAAATATTCATTTAAATCCACAAGATTACAATTTGGATCACATGCAAGACCCCTAAAATGGCATTCAAAGTCAAAAATAGGAACATTCAATTAAACATCAATGTTTTAAAAAACAACTAGAATCCCAAATGAAATTTGCGTTTGAAATCCTTAGATCCATTGACTTGCCCTCTTTTATTCAACAGTAATAATTTAATCCCCAAATTTTCAAAATCAATGATCCCAACATCGTGTATAAATTGGAAAATACCCAATTTAATAAACCAAAAACCTAATTCAATTGCATTACTGGAACTGCATTCAAAATCCATGTATTCAATTTCAATCATACTACTAAAATTAAAAGTTACCAGCCAATGCCAGCCTCCGAGACCAACAGCCTTCTTTACAACACCTTGTAGCCCAACGAGAACAGATTTGGTACGGTTGTTTCCGGTGACAACCACCTTAGTATGGCGGGGCAAAACGGACAACTCTTCCTCGCTGCTATCGCCACCGCCACTGCCACCGCCACAGCTCTGAAATTGTGCAGAAGAAGAAAACCCACAACCACCACCATTATTCACATAACTCTCCTCCATTGCTTCTCCTTCTCTTACAGCATTATCCGTACAGAAATTAAAAACCCCAAATAGGAAGAATTACCAATCGAAATTTTATGTAACGGAAAGATCAATCACTTGGGAATTAGAAACCGATGACATTTGGAGGTTGAAAAGCAAGAAAATAAGGACAAAATTTGGGGTTTCAGAGGGTGAAAAAACACATGATAGAGAGAGAGAGAGAGAGTGACACAAGTATGTGTGTGTTGAATTCGAGTTTTCTTTGCTTCTGAATCCCGACGAGATGGGTTCGACGAATGAGAGAGTGACACGTATGAAGAGGTATGGTTCAATTTACGGTGGCGTGATGCAATAATGCAATACCACTTAGCGGTTTTATTGTTTCTGTAATATCACTTTTGACTCTTTGACTGATGTTGGTTTAAAGGCATGGGAGTGGGTCCTTGTCTAATTACCATTTTGCCCTTCTACACAAAACCCCCCATTTTCAAAATGGAAATTTAAGTTTCTATGCTCGATAATAATCTAAAATATGCTCACATTTTACCATCATTTTAAGAATATGCTCTAATGACAAAAATGCCCATAATAATTTGAAGCTATGAATCATCTTCAATAGTTGAGGTGTTGGTTAACACACTACAATAAATCAGGTTTGTATACGACAAAAAGGTTTTAAGTGTTATAATAGACTTATTTATATGAATTAAAATTTTATGGGACCAAACAATTGTGTATCATATGTAAAAACGTTGCAATAAGTTTATAGGGCGTTTTTTTGTTCCTTTAACAAGTTTTTTAAGCCACTTTGAAAATAAAGTGTTGGATTATCTTTCTTTTGAGAAATGTCCTACTAGCACCTTTTTATACAATGTTAGAGATAGGGATTTGGGTAGGGGTGAACAGCGAAACCAGGTACCCGGTTACGGAACCGGAACCGCCTTGGAACCGCCGGTTCCGGAACCGAAACCGATATGAGTGGTTCCGGTTCCGGTTCCTAAAATACGGAACCGATTGAGAATGGTTCCAGTTCCGGTTCTCAATTTTTCGGAACCATTACCCGCCGGGTACCCGGTATTTTTCAATAAAAAAATAATTATTATTTTTGTATACCAAATTTATATTAGATTTATATCTTGAAAGCACGTCGTCATCTTCATTCTTCATCTAAATTATTCATATAAAATGATTCGTATTTTTTCAAATTGTGTATTCACTTGGATTCATAGTATGTAATCGTTAAACTTTGAACATTTATCATTATAATATGTAATCTTTAAACTTTGAACATTTTCTATTAGTCTATTATGGTTTGTAATCGTTAAACAATATTTGTAACCATTATTCTATATAATTTGTATTCTTGCTTATTTATTTAGTGTTTTGGCAATGTTTTATTTTTTATTTCTAAATAATAAAATTTTAATATTTTAGGAAGCGGGTACCCGGAACCGGAACCGGTTCCCGGCGGTTCCGGTTCCGGTTCCGGTTCCAAAAATTTAAGAACCGCTCTAACCGGTTCCGGTTCCGGTTCCAATATCTCAAGAACCGTCGGTTCCGGTTCCGATTCCGGTTCCTGTAAAAAAGGACGGGTACCCGCCTATGCTCATCCCTAGATTTGGGGATGATGATATGACTGGATAAAACACAAGAATCGTGTACGGAACACTTTTCGAATACTATATTTCGACCCTTACAGCCTTGGGTTCGTGAAATCAGTATTGGGATAATTCTTGGTTTTTTCTCTCTAACCTCAAAGGCTATGAAATCGAGATATATATACCCAAATTCTCGAAAATACATATTTTATAAAAGAGATCAATGGTTATTGGCTGTTAACGGTTATAACCATTAACGGATAAGGTCAAAAGGTAGTTACAACCGCATCTTATAACTGAAATTGGTAGGTTTAGAGCTTTTGTAACACTAGACCAGAGCTTCTGGTTACCCGTGACTAGTGTTGGCGTGCAAGCCAACTAGTGAAGGTTGCGAGCGACTAGAACCCCCTTTGGACCATCTTCAAGACTTAGCGAAATTTCTAAGTCTAAAAATACAAGTCTTCGACGCATAGGTCCAGACTTCGCATGGAACGTTTCAGAGCTACGATTTAGTAAAAATCTAATAGACTGCTCAGCCCCCTTGGAACCCCACTAGGGGCGCGACCCCCTTGATCCCTGCTTTATGGGATCTAAGATGATAGGGACTAAATTTATAAGTGTGCATTCCACACCTCCTAACTTACGTGCGTTTGCCGCATTCCCTTAATGGATCTCAAGTGAATCACAATTATACCAAAATGCTTTATGACACTAAAATCACCAATCTACGATACTTGTTTTTATAAATGTTATATAAGAAATTAGTAGAAAGTTCTATTTTAAAATTGTTCTAAAAACTTGTTAAAGTGCCATAAACATCCTATAACTTATTGCAACACTTTTACGTATGACAGATAACTGTTTGATGTTATAAAAACTTAAATTCTATAAAACAGTCTATTAGAATACGTATATATTTTTTTTACGTCCTATAACATTCATAATAACCCTAGAAATATGAAGATAAACATGATAAATTGTTGAAACCGGATATGAATATTGTATATAGTTGCACCTAGAGAGCCAATTAAAGTCGAATATATTGTTCTTGAGAAAAAGAAAAGATAAAGTTGCACATGGGTTGGGTTTGCCGATTTAAACGCATTTAAACAATCCAACCCAACTAGTGTAGTTTGAAAAATCTCAACTCGTTAAGTTTTTTTTTAAGCATAGCCCAACCCTGCCCAACCCATATGGGTTAGTTTGGTACTGATTAGGTTGATCGGATTGTGATATAACATCACTAGAGCAGCATACTTAACAACTATTAGTCTAAGGTGGTGTTTGTTTTTTTTTTTAAAAAGCTCTTATTTTACCATTTATGTATGATTCGGTCAGACATAAGGCAATTCAGACCGTTTGTTTTTCTTTTTCTTGCAGAGCCACTTATCACTTATTTTCCTCTTAAAAATTAAGTGATAATCTAGCCACTTATTTTCCTCTTAATCCTGAAAGACTATCCAGAGAACCGATTTCTACTTCATCATTCGATCGACTTCACCCTCTCAATCGATCGACTCCACCCTCCTTACCGTCTCAATCAATCGACTTCACCCTCCATCGCCTCCGGTGGCTTCAAATCGACCCAAATCAGATCCAAATCAAGAGGGTTTTCTTTTCTGTGGGTTTTTGCCACTGTGTGTTTTCATTCCTGTGCAAACCAGTTGTTGTGCACATTTATCCTCGTGAATCAAGGTATTTTCGTCCCTGTAATTTTCATCATGATGGAGATTTGCTTCAATTTTAGAGGTGGATTTGGGCATTGGATTTTAGAGAAGGAGTGGTGGTGGACGGTGGTTGATGGTGGTGGGATGAGGGTGGAGATTGAGGATGGAAGACTTGATCTGGAGGAGAATGAAGAATTAAAGGAATCTTGGAAACATAAACAGAAGTGAAATAAAAAATTATACATATTCATATGTTTTGTTGATTACAAAAGCAAACTAATAATTCAGATTTCAAACTTCAGACGTTTGTCAGTTTACAAAAACAAACAGTCTGACTGATTCAGATTTTAGACTTCAGCACCACCTCTTAAAAATCAGAAGTGAAATCAGACTTCAGACTTCAGCACCTCTTAAAAAACAAACGCCACCTAACACTATGAGTTAATTGACTTTTATGATACATATGAAACAAAGAAAATTCAAACCAAAACCAAGAAGAAAGTTTGCAATTCATGTTAATAGGAAAGTAAAATGAATGGTCGAATTGTGGCCCACTTACGAAAAGATCTAACTAAAGGTTGGTCTAATCGAATAATATACATATTAATATCCAATTCTCCTTCTCTTTCATGAATACTCTAAGTTTAACATCCTACCATGCTCAGCCTCCAGATTCATGAATTTGGCAATTGAATCACTATAGAAGATTTGGGTCACTGTTGCCATTGTGGCCGCGTCCTACGGTCCAACATTTATCTCACAAATGATACATGCAATCATCAAAACACAAACTTTTATCCTTAACAACTCCATATGAAAATAAATAAATAAATAAATAAATAAAAATGGAAAACACGAACACATAAAGGAAAAACGCACACTAAAAGAGAATTAAAAGAAATACACTAACTAAGTGTAGATAACACTCAAAATGGGAGTTATCCCCCCCCCCCCCCCCAAAAAAAAATCTAACCACAAGCGTACGATGCTGAATCAAGTAATACGTACGAAAGTACCAGTATCGAACCAATGGAACTAGAGACTGAATATCACAATGACTGTGAATATTATCAACTGGATTGTCCAACCCCCAACATCTAAATATCAGTTCATGTTGGAGGTGGTAGAGAACAAAGAAAAAGGCGGAAATAATAAGTTTAGACATGGTTTCTCAATCAAAGTCTAAAAAATGTTGAAAATCCCTTGTTATGATGGATCTCCACTAGAAATTAATGAATCAGGCTTCAAATCTTCAATCCCACTGATAATCTTTGTTTTCTTGGCTCCAAAATGGCCTAAAAGTCCCCCAAAATGGCCCAAGAGTTGTGTTTCTCTATAAGGTGTGAGGAATGCCCAAACCTTAGCTGAAAATTTGATAAAAACCACTCATAGGCTCTCACACGAATTTTCATGCTACTTAGGTCGTGTGACTTTGCAACTCGTGACTTACTGTTTTGGCCATAATGACTTACTTTTAGCTCCAATTTTCAAAACCATGTCTCATGTTCAATCCAGACATATAGGATAAATGGGCATGCTTATACATTATGATGATCACATGAATTAATATTGGTTGAATCAATTAATTATTGTCCCTTTGGTATAGTAGTAGTGGTATGTTGTTAGATACCGTTCATCAGTTATAATAAATAAATATAAATTCATCGTTATTGCCAATGTGATTAGAACCCGAAAGTCGCATGCAACGACATTTTGATAAGGATATAATTGACCAATGTGTTGGTTAATTAGGGTAAATTAATTAGATTATGGAAGTCTAAATTTTTTTACGAAAAAAGAGTGAGTTGCAACAATATGATGCTATTGTGTATTGTTATAACATAGTGATGTTACTGCATATTGTAAGAACAATGCTACAGCAACTTCGACAAATTTCTCTTTATTGGATAAAGATATCTTATGGCTTATGGATGGAATAAACACCACCAAGGATGCTAAAGTTGGGTT